TGGTCCCTGGAGCACCGCCAGAGTGATTTCTGAATGCAAAATTAGGAGTAACCCCTGACCGGCATGGAACCAAAATCAAACAACATTTCCTTCCCCCCCAAAAAATAGAATAGGTCCTCGATAAATTAGTTTCCTAATCCAGTTAACAGTGATCAGCCTTACTGATTTTTTTTCATCCTCAAGTCTGGGGTAAGCGCGTTCCCCTTCCCGCGTCTGTTTATCAGAAAAAAGCCTGGTTCCCTCACACCAGGTTTTTCCCTTCTGACCGGCTCTGCACGGCACCCACACTGGGCAGAGACGCCAGTAGGGGGCGCTGTTGAGGCTTTGCTGGCGCTGTCCGACCGTGGGAGCCCCTCAGCAGGACTTTCTCTTGCCTCCTCGCAGCTGAATGCACAGTTATGGGCATCCCCAGTATCTCCACCAACCTCTCTGGCTTCGGCTGCTTCATGGAGGAGCATATTGCAGATCCCTCAGCCTACGGTTAGCGTCCCAAATAAGCGCGGGGCTCTTGGATTCGGGGGGGGGGGGGAGGATGGGCGGGCATGGGGGACAGTCTGCTGGGACTCAGCGGGAAGAGGGACCCTGGTATTCCCGAGGCCCAAGGGGAATAAAGGTTCTCCCCAACCGGTTTTCTGAGCCCTTCCTCGTTCCCCCACCCCCACCCCCGGCCCCCGCAGGCATTTACATTTTGGATCGGCGGTTCCGCAGCTTAGATGATTCCTGCTCGCAGCTCACCTCCTTCCTCTACAGCTTCTGCCAGCAGAGCCGGCGCCAGCGCATCATCCAGCGGAACCGCACGGAGCGCCTCTCCGATCTTCTGGATTGGAAATACCTAGGCCGGGTATAAACTCCCCTTCCCTAGTCTCTGCTACTGAATCACCAGCCTCTTCTGCCTCCGGGTCTCTGGTCGTTCGGTCGCAAAGGCTGACGTCGGGAGACACGGTTGTTGCCGTTGCTGCCTCTTTAAGATCGCTTTCCGTAGAAGACCACCTCTGCTTCCCACCTCTGCTTCCGCGCTGCTGTGAAAGCGGCTGCAGATGAAGCACTGACCAACAAGGAGGAAGTGGCTCCCTATTGTCCATTCACAGCCCAGTTTATCTACTTAAGGGGGCGGGTCTTCAAAGGCCTTAATTTGCATAGGACCCTATGGATGCTGCGGCCGAACATTCGCATCTGCATAAAAGGTGTAGCTAAGGGCGGGAAGCGCGCACAGCGGGGAGGGCTCCTGCCTAGCACGGGGGAGGGGGGAGGGGGGTGTCCGGGGTCCGGGTCCAATCCCCATCGTGCCTTAAGTTACTCCGAGCACCGCCAGCTGGAATTTCCGAATTTCTGAGCGCAGAGCCTTGCCGGGTGTGCTACCTCCTCCCCCACCCCCCGAAAGAAAAATGTAGCCAAGTTTGGCACCCCCACCCCCATCCTTGTCCGCCAGGATTTAACCAGTCCCTGACTCCCCTCCTCCTCTTCCTTCCAAACCAAGTACTATATGTCAGCTCGCCGCATGGCACTGGCCAAGGCCTTTCCAGAGCACTTTACGTACCTGCCCCGTGAGGCCGACGCGGTAAGTAGACTGGGTGTCCCGGCACGGCCTGGAACTAGAGAGGGCGTGGGCGGGCAGCCCGCTGTGCTGCTGGCAGCCCGCTGTGCTGCTGCGGGTTGGGGATGGAGGGAGCGCCTTCAGGGGTGCAGGTGGCACTGGACACCTGGGCCAGAGTCCTGGACGGGGCTCTGTGAGGTCTGCGCACAGCGAGGTTTTGTGTTCACCCCCCCCCCCACCACCACCACCTCATACAGACTCAGGGCTACCGCTACCCACGGCCAGCGTCCGTGCCCCCGTCGCCTTCGTTGTCGCGACATTCGAGCCCACACCTGAGCGAGGACGAGGAGGAGCCCCGGGACGGGCTGCCCGATGCGGACGGCGAGCGTTACGACGAGGAAGAGGAGGCTGCCAAGGACCGGCGCAACATCCGCGCCCCGGAGTGGCCCCGCCGCGCCTCCAACGCGGCAGGCAGCAAGCGCGGCTCGGTGGACACGGCGCCGTCCAGCTCGCCCAGCACCCCCAGCTCGCCCCTCAGCCCCGCCAGCTCTGTGGGGGAGGAGCGCAACTAAACCTTTGGCCCCTACACTCCCTGCTCACCTGCCCCCCTCCCCCGCCCCCGCCATCTGAAGGGCGGATGCGGAGCGGGAATTGTTGCCAGCACCCCACTCCTGATCCAGAACACTCTGTGGGGTACACTGCCCCACCCCCTCTGCCATACACTCCAGCCTCTCCAACTCAGCTCTTGAACTCCGCCCCTCACTCCCACACTCCAGAGCCTCACTGCTGTGCCTTTCTTGGGTGCCAGAACCATAGTCTGGACCCTGGACTTCCACCCAGGCCTGCTGGGGTCCCGTAAGTCAGAAAGTGCCATTACCCGCCCCTATGGTGCCAGCCAGGCTTCAGAGGCCCTTTTGGCTTGCCAATTCTACAGCACGCCAAGCTCAGGTCTAAAAGCTCCCTGTGATACCCCAGTGAGACAATCATGTCCAGCAGGGGTCTTTCAGGGACTTGGGTTCAGATGCAAAAGGTCCTGCATGTCTAGTCCTGACTTGGTCGTGGACAGACAGCGACCTGGAGATTACCCTGGATTAGCCTTCCCTGGGGGTGTCCAGGAGGATCTCTCCACCACTCCTCTCTTCATGCCCCCTCACTTTGGCCAAGTGAGGGATGGCAGAATCTCCTGATATTTCATCCCCTACTGGGAAGCTTGCCTTCTTGTTTTAGAAGCCTTGCTGGCCTTTTCTGAACCTCACCCCACAACTCTGAGCCTGAGCTATCCCTGTAGTTCCAGGTTTCTGTGCTCCAGGGGACCGTCCTGCTAAGGACACAACTACTGTCAGGCCCTCAACATTTCCCAACTACTTGGCACCCCCCACTCCCCACAAAACCACTGGGTTCTAGGTTTCAGCTCTCAAATCTAGAACCTCACCGTTACGCTGCCTCCCGGTCCCTTTTCCCTTATCTAGAGCGGAGCCCCTGGGCTCTCAGACCTCCATATGTACCTCAGTGCTCTTCCACCCCAAGCTGTGCCGGCCCCCAGCTCAGGTGAAGGAGGGACCCTTCATGTGTGCCGTGTCCCTGTACTTAGTTTGCAGTGGGGAGGGGGTGGGGAGAAGGGTTGTGACTGAAGTGTGTCCAGAAATGAAAAAATACATCTATATTTAAGAAGTCTAAGTCTGCTCCAACATGCTGGCTTGCTGGGCCCCTGTACCATGTCCCTCCAATTTCTCTCTCTCCCTCTGGCCTTTTCTGTGTTCTGTGTAAAATTTTGTTGTGGTTTGGTTTGGGATTGTGTGTGTGTGTATGTGTGTGTGTGTGTGGTTTTTTGTTTTGTTTTGCGTTTTGGACCACACCCGGTGATGCACAGGGGTTACTCCTGGCTCTGCACTCAGGAATTATTCCTGGTGGTGCTCAGGGAACTTTTTTTTTTTTTTTTTTAGTGCTCTGCCTGTTGTCCCTGCTCTCCGGCTTTGCAGATGGTGTTTCTTTTCAGAAAGAAATCAAGCAGTGCTCCTAGAGGTGCCCAGGAGATCATGTGGTGTCAGGGGTTGAAGAAGCATGGGAGGGATGGAGAAGGATCCAATCTACAGGGTGTTTAATCACAAAGGCCATTCAAGACTCCTTAGGTTTCAGTGAAATTTCTCCATAGCAGATGCTATTAGGCACCAGGGCCAGAAGTGGCTAAATGCACATCGTGGGCAGTTCACCTTTTTGTTTTTGTGCCACATCCGCAGTACTTGGGGCTTACTCCTGGCTCTGCTCAAGAATCATCCCTGGCAAGGCTTACAGGGGACCATGTGGAGTGCTGGGGCAGCTACGTGCAACGCAGGCACCTCCTCACTGTACTCTCCAACCTACCTTTGCAGAAAGTTAACAAATACGTGGTGGCATCAGGACTTTGGCCGGTTGTTCCTCAGTGTTTCAGGAAAAATCGATTTCTTTCCAGTTTGGGTTCGATAGTATTTGTATTTCTGAACCAATCGCCTTTTAGGGTGTCAGAAGCTTTGATTAGACTTGGATGTGCAATCTTGACCCATACAGGCTCTCTCCCCCATAGGGTCACTAGTGGTTACACAAGTGCAGTGACAGCAAATAATGCTCAGAGTGGCCAAAATACCAGGTGTCCAGCTGCCACTTCCTCTTAAGAGTCTACAAAAAGCAGAAGGGGCCATGGGTCAGTTTATTTTTGTGTAGGAGTTAGGGAGCTTGGGGTATGTCCAGCAGTGCTTAGGGTCTAGTCCTTGAGGTACAGGGGGGACAATATGTGCTAGGAACTAAGCTGGGGCCTACTGCAGGCAAAGCACTCGCCATGGCATGAACTATCTGCCAACCTGGTGGTCAGAGTTGGCTTATTTGAGACTTGGATACAGCATTTGCTGGCTAAGGCATCTTCATGCTTCTTCAGTTCCCATTTGGAGAATGTGGCCCCAAGTTTCACATCCTGCTTCTGTGCTGAGCCCTGCATGTCTTTGGTAGCCCAAGCAGGCGGATTTCTACTGCATAGACCAACTCAGCAATTTAGTGCACCTTAGAATTAAGATTACAGTGAGCCTGGATCTTCAGGCCACTCCTGTTGAAACTGGAGGCCCTTTGGAGCTGGTCAGACTAGCATGAGTGACTCCTGGTTACCGTGAACATCTCTGGGGCTCTCCTCACTGTATAAAGGGGCCCAGATTTATACTTCACCTCCCAGGACTGAGCCAGAAACCATCACTTTCACTCAGCAAATACAGACTGTTTGCTTATGCCAGTGTACTCTGTTGGCAAATGTTTGTTTGCAACTACCAACCCACAGGTCACATGAAAACTGGGGTCTCCCATATAGGAGGGGCAGTGCCCAGGGAAAACACCATCAACTGGCCTCATGGCTGAGCCAGAGGCCTGATACAGAAGCCAAGATGCTAGAGAACATCTATGTATATGGATCCCACCTCCATTCCCACACCACACACACATACACATATTCAGTTGTTGCAAAAGCTTTATTGGTTATTTGGTCCACTTCAGAAGCTGCCCAGGGAGCAGCAAGGAGGACTCAGGCCAAGCCCGTGATACCAGGGGGCACCACTGGAGACTCAAAGGCCACAGGGGTTTGAGCGGCGCCTAGTCGTGTTTGAGGGTCAGCCTCTCGAAGAGATACTCGCCCAGACCAGGCTGGGGGCTTCCTAGTCTGCGGAGGTTGGTCAGGTGGTCACCCATCTTCTTGATCAGTTTCACCTCTTCGTCCAGGAAATGGCTCTCCAGGAAGTCACAGAGCTGAGAAATCAGGGGAAATTGCTTCCATTTAGATACAGGTGGGCTACCAGTGGAGTGGAGGTTCAGGAAATGTACCCCCAGAGTAACAAAGCTTAGAGAATCACCTCAGCAAAGGCCTGAGGATGGATATTCACGGGTGAAATGGGGAGGGTGGGGTGTTGACTTACATGGGGATCCGAGCGGGTAGAACCCAAGGCATGCAGATCCAACAGGGCCTGGTTGAGATTCTTCTCCAGGACCATAGCCGCTTCCATGGCCTCCAGGGTTTTACCCCACTCATCCTGGGAAGGCTTCTAAAGAGAAAGGGGGGCGGGGAGGAGGGCTCAGAACTAGTCTGGCATGTCTTAGAGTATTTCCCTGCGCCCCCAGCCTCTGCAGACGACTGAAACCACATATTCTAAGAGACCAAGAGCGATCTGACCAGATCGGTTCTGTAAGCGGCTGCATTTCTTCGCCAGAGCCCGCGCAGTGCCCCGGGGCAGGGTTTGCGCTCAGAACCGACTGGGAGAAAAGTAGTCCGCGCGCAGGGCCTGCTGGGAGATGTAGTCCGCGCCTCACACCTTACCTGCACGTCCTGGAAGAGGGCGCGGCCGCCACGCTGGTTTTGCATCTTCAGGAGGCGTTCGGCGCCCTCGCGCTTCTCCTCCGACAACTCGCGGAAGAAGTGGCCCACGCCCTCCAGAGCCACATCGTCGCGGCTGAAATAGAAGCCCTGCGGGAAGAGATGGCGGGAAGCGCGGTCAGCGGAAGAGAAGGCCCTGACGCGCGCTCCACCCTCTGAGCCGCCCGGAGGGACAAAGACGGCTCCGCGTGGGCTGAGGCCTGGGGCGCGCAGCCGGGGCGAAGGGGGCTGGGGGTCGGGGTGGGGGACAGGGATCGGAAACTGCCTGGGGACCCTCACCAGAGAGAGGTAGGTGTAGGAGGCCCGCAGATGCAGGTTCACCAGGCGATTGACGGCGGCCTCCACGTCGGAGGAGTAATTCTGACGAATCTGGGAGCTCATGGTTGGTCGGCAGTGAGAAGTGAAGACCCAAAAAGGATACTAGATGGTCCCGGGGGAGAAAGGGCTGAAGAGTTGGTTCCGCTCCGCAGGTTGAGACTGGAAAGAAAGTTGAGGGTGGCCGGAGGCAGGCTGGTAGGGCGTCCCCGGGTCTGTTCCGTCCAAACACTGTTGAAGCAAGAGACAGATCCGCGGGACCACCGAGCGCGCTGCAAGAGCCTGCGCAGGGGCGGCTGCTTTTATTGAGTCGAGGCCCCAGGGGGCGGTGTGTCCGGGCAGGGCTTCCAGCCAATCGGCGCGCCGGGAGGCGGGGCTTGGAGCCCGCGAGTGGCCAACCCGCAGCCGAACGGAGCCCCATCCCCCCACCCCCACCCCAGCCCTGTGGTGGGCAAGTCACGCGCTCCGAGCGCGAGACCGTTGTGAAATGGGAATTGGGGCGTGTTAGGGATTTCGCGGGTGGGAAGGGTTCTAAGGGCTGATTATGGGAAATCGAGGCCTCGGGGGGCCTCTCTGGTAGGTGGAAGATTCTTGGGCATACAGGGAGTTCTGGAGATCCCTGGGTTGCTCTGGAAGTTAAGCTGGATTCTGGGATTGACTGTCTAAGCACCTACTTTGCTGGAGCCCTGAGGTTCCTTCACCCCCAGACGCAGCTGGATGGCTGGGGTTTACTTTGGGAGACACAGGAGCTTGGAATTATTGAGAAATTCAGGAGACTTCATGCTGGAGACCTGTGGGGCAATCGGGAGCCCTGAGGTCACTGAAAACTGGTGAAAGTCTGTATTTTCTGGAGCACACCCTGGAGAGTGCTTTGAGCTACCTTGTGCTGAGCTACCAGATTAGTAGGGCCGTTGTCCAAAGCCTTGGGGTTCACCGTGTATCCCACCCCTAAGGAGAGGAGAGAGAACTTTACAGAAGCCTAGTTAGGGCTTCTTAGAAAGGGAATACTTGGAAAGGAATGAAATACTTGGAAAGAAACTGAAAGAAGATGTTCCACACACTGACGGAGAGGGGGCCGTTTTGGGTTTTGGGGTCAACTTCAGTGATCAGGCTTTTTGGAAGCTAAATTGGGGAGGATTAAACTATCACTAAACCTTTGAATCTCTGAGGTTGCATCCCCAGAGACAGACTTGTAGGCAATGATACACATCTGGCATGTCTGGCCCTAGACAGGCTCTCAGCCTTGCTTGACACACATTCCTGCTAAGACACTAGGAGTGGCCTGGGGTTCTGGGGCACCCTGGACAATGTAAGACATGTGGACAGGCTGTCTGTCTTCAGATGGTGAGCACTTATTTTGGGGGGGGGGCAATCACCTGGCAATGCTCAGGGATTATTCCTGGCTCTGCACCCTGGAATTACTCCTGGCTGTGCTTGGGGGACCCTATGGGATGTTGAGGACTGAACCCAGGTTAGTGCCCGATCTGCTGAACACTTTTAAAGTGTGCCACACCAGGCTCAGGAGAGCATGACAAGCTGAGTATAAGCTTTGCATCGTCCCCTAGAACAGGGGTGGTTTGCAAACACTGCTGTGTTGGGCCTCTAAGCCGAAACAATACTAAAGTATACCCAGTCAGGACTCACTTGCTGGGGGGACTGACTGGAAGATGCCTAAACTCAAAGGGATCCATGGGAGTGTCTCAATGAAGGCCGCGGGTGGGCTGGACTCGGGTGTGAGGGGCTCAGGGCCTGCTGTACTAAAGAACCCCTCCATCAGCCAGGCAGAAGGTCCCCTCATCTGGGGTCTGTAATGAAGGGGCCTTGGAGCTGATGGCCAGAGTGGTTGTGCTGAGTCATGCTGAACTCAGCAGCGGGAAGGGCTGGAGGGGAGGGGGGAGTGTGCCACACTGACCTCATCCCCTCGGGGCTGCCTGGGCTGTCTGGTGGCCCTGACACAGACTCAGGAAATAACAGGCAGAGGAAGCTCCAGTCCAGCTCCCTCCTCCTGGTGGCGGGGAGTGGGGGGGGGGGGGGGGCTTTGAGAATATTCTTGGAGGGTCTGTCTCAAGAATTCCCTAGGTGGGTTCCCTGTGGCCATATTGTCCCCTTTGTGGACTGGTGACTCAGTGTCCCTCTACATAGGCTAACGTCTGGGATATCTCTGGGATATCTCTGCTCCGGTGTCTCTGGGGGAGGGGTAATCCCGATGACCCAAGTTACTCATTCACCAAGTCCTGCCTCAGCCAAAGACCTTTAGCCCCAAGCACGACCCACCCGGAGGGGCCTGTGACAGTGACCCCAAGTTCTGGGAGAGGGGTTAGAGTGGCCTGCGGAAGGCGGCGTAGGCACCCCGGGACCCGGGGAAAATGGGGGACACTGAGGGCCAGACAGGGAGAAAGCACCGCAGCCCTGGAGCGGGCAGGGCGGGCTGAGTGGAGTGAGACTGGAATCCGGGGTTCTCCTGATTTCCCTCCTCTAATGACTAGGTCTGGCCAGCTCAGCGGGCAGGACAGGGCCCGCTCCCCACCACTGAGGGGAGCGGCCCGCTCCCCGCCACCCCCCTCCGCTCCCACACCTGTTCCCCCCCTTCTTTTCCCTTTTAGGACCCACACCCAGTGGTGCCGCTGTGGGGACTAGGCTACTCCCAGTGCTGTGTGCTCAGGGGCCCCTAGGGGTGTTGGGGGAAATCATGGGGTCCCAAACACTGGCCTCCACATGCCAAACACTGACTCAACACTTTGAGGTCTCTCAGGCTGGGGGATGCCCTAGGGCCCAGCCTCCTCTCCGGCCTTCCAGCCTACTCCAGGGGGCTTCAGAGTCCCCATAGCCAAGCTCCTCCCTTCCCCCAACTTCCCACATCCCCTCTATGGAAAGCAGCTTCCTGGCCCTGGGTCATCTCTGTACCCTGCAGGCTGGCTCCTTCTCACAGACACCACCCCCCAACCCCTGGACTGCCAGATGTGACCTCAGAGCAACACAGAAAGCACTGACCCCCCCCCCCCCCCACGCAAGAAAGTCTCTCCTCCTCCCCGCAGCCAGGTGTATGCCCAGTGACACAAATTTCAAAGTGTGGCCCAAAAGAGGTTTATTATCCTCCCCTGAGACCATCACCCCCCAAACCCCAATAATTACAAAAGTAAGAAAAATGCCCAGGACCCCCCGCCCCAGTCCCCCCCTCCCCGAAAAAATGCCATAATTTATGCAGAAAAGACACAGTCCAAGGGGGCCGCCGGCCTCAGCCCATTTTCTTCCAGATGGTGAGTGAGGCGGTGAGCACGCCGGCCACGAAGATCGTCACCGTCTGCCACGTGGGAGTTCCGAAGTAGGAAAGGAGCCCATCCTGGGGACAGAAACATTCGTCACCTGAGCACATGGGAAACGGGGGGACAGTCCCAGGCCAGGGCATAGGGATAAGGGGGGCAGAGAGAGGTTCAAGGGTGTTGAGTGGTGCGACTTGAGGAAGCGTGATTGTTAATAAGAGTTTTGTCAGAGTAAGGGTTACCTAGGCCCAGAGCCATGGTCCAGGCTCTATGACCTTGTGTGTTGCTGACCCCAAATTCCACTTTTAGCATCCTATTCCGTGGTACCTGCCCCCCTACCCCCCCGCGTACTGCCTGGGGCTGCTCCAGAGCAGAGCTGAGCGTATAGAACCTCTTCCGTCCCCCCAATGGAGTGAGCCAAGAACCTGAGGCATCGCAGAAGCAGCGCCTCCAAGGCAGGCAGAGGCTAGAGTCATCAGGAGGTCAGAGGTCACCAGGAGGTTAAGTGGTCAGAGATGGGTGAGTGGGCAGAAGATAAAACGGGGTGATGGGAACTGAGATGGGGGACGGGTTCAGGGAAAGCCTGAGTGTCAGGGTGGGTTGTCCAGGGCCTTACCCAACCACCCTGGTCCTGGATCCAGCCCAGCAGCCGCTCCCGCAGGAAGTCCAGCGTCCAGCCCATGATGGTTCTGATCAGATCCGGCACCTTGGTGCACAGGGCCTGCAGGGAGTGGGGCGGGCCTCAGGGACAGAAGGCCAGCAAACCAGGACCCCAAGTCTTTATCCACTCCTGGACACCTGTAGGCTATTGCCACTGGCCACTACCCCACCTGCCAGCCTTCCTGACCCTCCAGATATGCCACGGATACAGGCCAAGGTAGAGCTTGACCCACAAGCCCTTGCGAAGGCAGCCTTGACTGCAGCCCAGCTTGTTACTTCTACGTGCCTCACAGGTGGGTCTGCTTCCGGACTGTCAAGCCCATCAAAGCTCACTGCCCCAGGATCTTTACATGTGCCATTTTCTGCCTAAAGAAGCCTTTACAAGAGCCTTCTCACGCACCCCTCAAAAATCAGGTTCTCATACCACTTCCCCAGAGTAGGTGACCCTAACTTTCAAACCTGACAGCACCATACCAATAGCTCTACACATTCCCACACTTTTTTTTCTTTTGGTCTCTAGGCTCAGGGGTGACTCCTGGATCTGTGCTCAGGAATCACTAGTAGAGTCAGGAGACCGTATCCCATTCGTATGGGATACGGTCTCCTGACTCTACTACGATTGAACCTCAGTTGGTTGCATGCAAACGCCCACCTCTAGCCCCTCTACCCCCTTTTGTCCAGCTTCTGTCCATTTACAAGCCATCACCCTGCTGTTCCTGTCCAACAGATCTATCTGGCAAACACCCAGAAATCTATCTACCTCACCTAATCCTTCACTTTCTCCAAATACCTGGAGCAAGCTGGCGGGTTTCCTTTTCCCCAGTATTTCCACTATATCCCTAAAGGTCAAAGAATTCTGAGCAGTCAAATATCTGCAATCCAAACTTCACTGTGAACTTTTTATTTATATATTTGGTTTTTGGACCACAGCCAGCGGCTCAGGGCTTACTCCTAGCTCTGCACTCAGGAATTACAGTCAGTGGTGCTTGGGAGACCATATGGGATGTCGGGGAATCAAACCCAAATCGGTGTCGCATGCAAGGCAAGCACTCTCCTGGTGGTACAATCACTCAGACCTCTAACTTAAAATTTATTTTTGGGTCACACCCAGCAGTACTCAGGACTTCTGAACCTAGAACACTCCAGTTTAGAAAGATCATGGCCAGTTGGAGAGATAGTACAGCGGGAAGGGCACTTGCCTTGCATGCAGCTGACTAGGCTAGATTCAATCCCCAGCACAACACAGCATCTGCCCCCCAACCATGCCATGAGTAAGCCCTGAGCACAGAGTCAGGAGTAAGCCAAGCACAGCCAGGTATTATCCCATCTCCCCCTGAAAAAAAAAATACGGCAAGTTTTTTGTTGGGGTCAGAGAGATAGTGAGCAGGGTTTTTGCCTTGCACGCAGCCAACCTGGGTTCAATCTCCAGCATCCTATATGGCCCTCTGAGCACTGACAGGAATAATTCCTGAGTGCAGAGCCAAGAGTAACCCCTGAGCATCAGCAGGTGTAACATCCTCCCTGACCATATGCCCTGACCCCTATCAGAGTGAAGTCTTGGCTTTCTACCTCAAAAGAAAGAGTCTGGAAACTTTTTTCTTTTCTGTACTACTCCTGGCAGTGTTCAAGGCTTACTCCTGGCTCTGTGTTCAGGGACTGCCCCCAGCAGGTTCCTAGTTAGAGACATGTGCAAGACAAGTGTTCTGTCTGCTGTCCCAGCGCTCCAGCCCCTGGCAACCTTTTTGATCTGGTAATACTGTGTCATTAATTTATATGTACACAAATTTAATAAGCATTCCCAGATCCAAAGGAACAGTCCACATTCAAATAATGTTCAGTGGTAGGTAGGGAACCTGATAATTACCTGAAGGTGATCGTGAAAACTTACAGACAAGGTTATTTCATTTTCCTGTTTGACATCATCCAATCCCTCCTGCCTCCCTCAGATTAAAACCAGTCCTTTCTGGGAAAGAGTCCAAAGGGCATGGGGGAGACTCAGGGGATCCAGGGGCCACTCCCAGAAATACTGCGTCAAGTGGACAGGAGAGCTGTATGCCCAGGTCAGGCAATACGGTACTGTTCCACTTGGCTGAGGTCAGGCAGCCCTGTGGTGCTGGGGTTTGAACTTGTGGCCCTGCATATGCCCTGACCCCTAACAGAGTGAAGTCTTGGCTTTCTACCCAAAACCTGTCCTAATGCACTCCGTTTCCTTTACCTTGTCACAGGCCTGGTCTGATCCCAGGACCTTTGTACTTGCTGCACCGGCTATCTGATGACTTTCCCTACCTGATCCTGATATACCATTGCAAGTTCCCCTCTTCACTATGGCTTAGCATCCCCAGCTCTTTCCTGGTTTGTAGTCAATCCCATCTCCTTAGCTGATCATGATCAGTGCTTCAGACAGACAGACAGACAGAAACTCAAACACACAAACAAACACCAAGAGCACAAGGACCTAGCCAGCTTCCTTCACTACAGGAACTGCTAGCGCCCATACAACCCAGCTGTGTCTCAGTTTCTTCTATGGGTACCAGCTGTTATAGGTACCAGGGGTATATCTAGTAGCCGCCCATTCCAAACACACACACACACACACACACACACACACACACACACGCACACGCACACGCACACACACACATGCCCTCATAGTAACTGGGGGACCTTCCCGATCATTCAGCCCTTCAGTGGCCCACCTTGAGCACCAGTTTGCAGGCAAAGTAGAAAAGGGCGACAACCCGGCCCCAGTTGAAGTTGCCATCAGAAAACATCTCTGAGGCCACCCTGAAAAAGACTTCACGGGGGGAGTCTGTGTCCACGGCTGCAATCATCCTGCAGAAAAAAAAAAAGAGTTGATGCTGGGGGGGAGGTAGGGCAGGGCCAAGTGGAATCCCAGGCGCCCACCCCGAACCAAAGACTGGGGAACCGAGGGTTGAGTTATGGTGAAAAGCAAGAGGGCAAGATGGGCATTGAGCAAGCAGGACATTCAAGACAACCAGGGAAAGGGAGGAGGGTTTCAGGATCCCAGTGGCCTCCAGGGGATAGGGGGCCAAGGCAGGCACAGGGCTGGAAGCTGGGGTTCCTGAGTTCTAAGGGGCCCAGGGTCGCACCTCTGTAGCTCCATGTTACTGTCCAGCTCATCGCCGATGCGTTTGAGACATTCACTCAGTTTCTTGGTGGACGCATCTTGTGGCATCTGCTCTAGACCCAGCTCTGGCGTCTCTCCCCCCATGCGGCCGGCTCGATCCTGGATGAAACTAGAGTGGACAGAGGCGGGCATGCAGAATCAGCAGGGGTGTGTCACTCCTTAAATCCGCCCGCAACAATCACACCTCAAACTCACCCCTGAAGCAAAAGGGCCCCTGTCTTCATGATCTGCTCAGAGCTGGTGGGCCCTAGAGGAGAAAGGAGGGAAGAGGAGCCTGGACTCTGGGGGTCCTAGGGACTCAGGGACCGGAAGACTTAAGATCGCTGTGGGAGGACAACGCTAGGGGGCACTGGACTGCGGGGTTCCTGGGGGACCCCGACAACTGAGTCCCTGCTGGGAAAGGGGAGAACTTAGGCCTGTAACCTACATTCTTCCAGGGGTAAGGGAGATGAGGTTGCGGGTACACTGAAGGCGTCCAGACCTCGGGTCGGCAGGGGCAGCGGGGAGACCCGCCCCTCCCACCCGGGCTAAAGGCAGGAAGTGGAGCCGGCGACAAGCCCGGGCCTGCCCGGGGGCTTGGATCCTGGGGTCTCCAGGTTCTCGGGGGCCTGAAGGCACCAGGCAGCGAGGGATCGGGGCGCAGAGGCCGGTAAGCTGGAGACCCCAAGAAGGAAGGGCGCTAGAGGCTGGTAGCGCCGGATCCCAGGGATCCTGTCGGGGAGTGCTTGGAGATCGCACGGCCCCAGGAGCCGGCAGGAGAGATCCGGGGATACAGGCCGATGACCGGACTCGCCCACCTTCCGCCCATCTGCCTCCCGCCTCACCCCCGCCTCTGGGCTGCTCCCCGGACCCGTCCATCACCGCCGCTCCCGCCGCTGCCGCCTCTCGCCGGGTGCGCCCGGGCGGCCGCAGCACGCCCCTGGTCACGTGAGCAGTCCGCTGAGCGTGCGCGCACTCACGTGACTGCCCCGCAACATGGCGGCCTGCAGCCGCTGCCCCGCAGGGCCGCGCGTCACGTGACCACGACGGGCCCGCCCCGTCCTGTGACCATCCCGACTGAACTTCCCTGCGGGAACGCTGTGGGGCGCACTTTCCCCGGACACCCTTTCGCCTGTAACTCCCAATCATTCTTCCTGGCGGTGTTTTCTGAAGCTGGAATGCGGAATGTATTAGGTTCTGGGTTTGATCCTGGAGCAGTGACAAGGTTGGGGGATGGTTCGGTGACCAAAAAAAAAAGGCACAGCGGACCGACCGATAGTACAGCCGGGAGGGCGCTTGCCTTGCATACAGCGGACGCAGCTTGATCCCCCGCCAAGAAGATCCTTGAGGAGTAAGTCAGGAGTAAGCCCTGAGTACTATCAGGTGTGGTCCCAAAACAAAACAAAACAATGAAAACATCAGAAATTAAAGAAAGTTATGGGACTGTGGAGTAAATACAGTGAGTAAGGCGCTTGCCTGGCGTTGCAACTGACCTGGGTTCAATCCTCCGTACCCATATGCACCACCAGGAGTAATTCCTGAGAGCAGAGGTAGGAATAACTCCTGAGCATTGCCGAGTGTAACCCCCAAACTAAATGAATGATAAAAAGTAAAACCTAGTGGTCGGAGCTATAGTACAAAAGGTAGGGCGCTTGCTTTGCAGGAGCGGAGTTCAATCACTAGCTTCCCATATGGTCCCCTGAGCACCTGAGCACCACCAGGAATAATTCCTGAATGCAGACCCAGGAGTAAACTCTGAGCATCGCCAGATGTGACCCAAAAAGCAAAGAAAGAAAGAAAGAAAGAAAGAAAGAAAGAAAGAAAGATCTAGACGGCACCATAACTGCGTGTGTAGCAGAATGAGCAATCTCATTTATTTTAAAAATAATATATATATATATGCACATGCATATATACATGCAGTCTTAGAGAGCAGGGTGACTCCACAGAGAAAGATTACAAGACATGTGTTTGCATGAAAACTAAAGGACAATGTAGTCGAAACATGGCCAGGGCCAAGAGACAGGAGAAGAGGGTAAAGCTTGCCTTGCATATATCTGTCCAGCTGACCAAGATTTAACTCCTGGCAGAAATTTAGTCCCCTGAGCACAAGGGCCCTATCCTGCACATAGAGCCAAAAATATCCCCTGAGCAACCTTACTTTTGGCTCTAAAACAGAGCAAACATGAGTTGCAAAACTTCTCTAACAGAAAACGATTAAGTGAGGCTATTTTCTTTTCTTTTTTTTTCTGATGAAAAAAATTCTTTTATTTTGTTAAAATCTCTTTCAATGAATTACAGTGAAATACACAGTTCCGAAGTTGTTAATGATTAAGTTTCGGTCATACAATGTTCTAACATCCATCCCTTCAAAAAATATGGAACGCTTCATGAATTTGCGTGTCATCCTTGCACAGGGGCCATGCGAATCTTCTCTGTATCATTTTTAGTATATGTGCTGCCAAAGAGAGCACGAAGCTGTTTTTTTTTTTTTTTTTTTTTTTTTTTTTTTTTTTGCTTTTTGGAGTCACACCTGGCGATGCACAGAGGTTACTCCTGACTCTGCACTCAGGAATTATTCCTGGCGGTGCTCAGGGGACCATATGGAATGCTGGGAATTGAACCCGGGTCGGCCGTGTGCAAGGCAGACGCCTTACCCACTGTGCTATTGCTCCAGCCCCTACGAAGCTGTTTTCTTAAGCTCTTACCATGATCTGGGTGGAAGTATACTTATCATGAAATGTATGAAATTTGATGCCTACTGACCTGAACATGTAAGATGCATTCAATTAAGTGGTAATAATTATTTTATTTCTCTTTAGTTTTTTTTAAGTTTTTGGGAATTTTTTTTTAGTGGGACACACCCGGCCATGATTAGGGCTTAGTCCTAGCTCTGCGCTCAGGAATCACTTCTAGCATATGCCAGGAATTGAACCAGGTTGGCCATGTAGGTAAGCACCCTTCAGACTGTACTATTCTTGGCACCTTCTCTTTAGCTTTTGAGGCTGATAGTTCAGAACTGATGCTGTGGCGCTACTCCCTGTAGTGCTCTGTGGACCAGGCAGTAGCAGGAACAGCCTGGGGCTCCTGCCTGGAAAGTTTGCCCTGCAGCCTTTTCCACCATAGTCTCCCAGCCCTTTTATTTGGGGGGAGAGGATTTCATACCTAGTGATGCTCAGGGATTACTCCTGGCTCTGCACTCAGGAATTAATTCTGGTGTTGCTTGGGAACCATATGGGATGCCGGGGATCAGATCGAACCCGGGCTGGCTGCGTGCAAGGCAAAGTCTCTACCCTCTGCACTATCACTTCATTCCTCCCCAGCCCTTTTGTTTCCCTTTTTAAAAGAAACAAATAGAGCCTAAGGAATAGTTCAGTGCACTTACACAGAGTCCACCCAGGTTCCATCTCAATACCTCATATGGTCCCCTGAGCTCAGCCAGGAGTCATCCCTGAGCACAGACCCTGGAGTAAATCTTGAGCACTGCTAGGTGTGGTTCCCAAACAAATTTGTTAAAAAGAGAAAGAAGGAGGTATAGTGCCACCAGCAGGTCAATCTGTACCTGTGAGGTGAGTGCATCAGCGGCCTGATGGCAACGTCAGACTTTCAGATATCCCAAAATTGCCGCTGTGCCTTTGGCCAGACCCCAAAAACTTGGGGCAAAGTTTACCAAGAAAGTAAACAGCCAAAAGTTAGGTATGTGGGAGACACACCCACAAACCACCTCCCGCTCAGCTATAAAATTGGAGGCATGGCCTCTCTGGTTCCTGATCGAACTGCTTAATGGCCATGATCCCAGAGTCTCAGAAACGAATCTCGGAACCCAAAGGCTTTTGACAGAAGTGCGTCCTGTTCCTGCAGTAGGTTACTAGCGCTGGGCCAACCCAGGTGGGAATAGGTTTCGTGCCTTGGCCTGTTCCCCCTGGCGGCCTGGTGACCACCATCCTCCAGAGGCCACTGGACAGTCAGGTTTGGGCCTGCAGTGACGAGACACACGGGGCCTCACCACATGGGGGTGGAGCCAACTCTTTCTCCCCATCTCAACGAGACCCCGAGTCACCGCCTACAAGCGGCCTCTCTGGCTCCTGATCAAGCTGATTAATAGCCACGATACCGGAGATCCAGAAACAAATCTTGAAACCCAGCAGCTTTTGGCAGAAATGCATCTGGACTTCACACAAGGTGGCTGCCACCTCAGAGCGTATTGGAAAGCCAGGTATAAGCTGGCGGTGATGGGGCAGCTGCAGTCTCATGGGAAGGAAAGCGGTACCAGCTCGTCCTTCACGCCCTACCGAGGTCATGAGTTGCCCCCTACAATCGGTTCTCTGGCATGGCCATGTCTCCAGAGGCAAAAGGACTTAATCCAGAACCTGGAAGCTTGCGGCAGAAAAGTGAATGGACCATGCATTAAACTATGGCGCCATGCCTCCCTGGGAGGAAAAGGGTGTTGCTCCCTTCCACCTTTTTCCCCCTTGGCAGCAAAGTGGCCGCCACCTCAGAGCTTATTGGAAAGCCAGGTATGAGCCGGCGGTGACGGGACAACTGCAGTCTCATGGGAAGGAGGGCAGTACCAGCTCGTCCTTCACACCCTACCGAGGTCATGAGTTGCCCCCCATAAGAGGCTCTCTGGCATGGCCATGGCTCCAGAGGCAAAAGGACGTAATCCAGAACCCGGCAGCTTGCGGCAGAAAAGTGAATGGACCATGTGTTAAACTATGACGCCATGCGTCCCCAGGGAAAGGGTGTTGCTCCCTTCCGCCTTTTTCCCCCCTGGCAGCAAGGTGGCCGCCGCCTCAGAGCTTATAGGAAAGCCAGGTACGAGCCGGTAGTGACGGGGCAACTGCAGTCTCATGGGAAGGGGGGCGGTACCGGCACGCCCTTCACGCCCTACCGAGGTCACGAGTTACCCCCCATGAGCGACTCTCCGGCATGGCCATACCACCAGACACACAGAAACCAATCTCGTAATTCTCTGGCTCTTTGCAGAAATCCAAAATCGTGGCCGTGTGACATTATATGATTCTCATAACCAGCTATAGAAAACAAAATATTTCACAATGCCTTTTCAACAATTTGGATTGTTTGGGGGGAAATTCTAAATAATAATGGTGCATCTTTTGTCGAAATAATGAACGTAATCAATGTAGAGAGGAGTTAAGTAGAAATCATCTGCCTCAAAGGCATTTGGAAGGGTGGGAGGGGGTATACTTGGGTTCTTGGTGGTGAAAAATGAGTACTGGTGAAGGGAAAGGTGTTTGATCATTGTATGACCGAGACTTAAACCTGAAAGCTTAGTAACTTTTCCCACAGTGATTCAATAAATAAATATAAAAAGAAAAAAATTTAAAAAAGTAAGGTGGAGTTCATGCCCAATTCAATCAGCTAATCAGTGGCTGAATAAATAGCAGTACTCCTACAAAAAAAAAGAGAGAGAAAGAAAAAAAGAAAGAAAGAAAGAAAGAAAGAAAGAAAGAAAGAAAGAAAACAGCAGACAAAATCAACTGGGTTCCAGTCACTGCCATGCTCACAGCCAATCTCCACAGACTTGGGATGAGCCCCTCACGCATGAGAATGAATCTACTGAAAAACTCAGGTATGTGGGTTTTGTGACTGAAATCTCCAGGCATGCACAGAGGGTGGAATGGGTGACCTCCCCCCAACTCCCTGTGCCTCTGTATGCTTGGCAATCACTCCCATGAACTGCATCTGGTGCCATATAAGCTCATTAATGGCCATGACCCAGAGACTTAAATAAATCTTGGAAGAGAGTCACAAGCTGCAGAGATGCCTCTGGGCCCCAAAGTCACCATCCAGTTAAGACTTTATTTCTTTATTTTTTTATCTGACGGAATCAAAGAGGCAAACCCAGGAGCGATAGCACAGCGGTAGGGCGTTTGCCTTGCACGCAGCCAACATGGCCGACCCGAGTTCAATTCCTCCGCCCCTCTCAGAGAGCCCGGCAAGCTACCGAGAGTATCTCACCAGCACAGCAGAGCCTGGCAAGCTCCCCGTGACGTATTCGATATGCCAAACACAGTAACAACAAGGTCTCCAATGGAGACGTTACTGGGCCCGCTCGAGCAAATCAATGATCAACAGGAGGGCCTTTACCTTTACCTTTTACCTTCTTTATTTATTTTTTAATTATTATTTTATTATTTTTATTTTGCTTTTTGGATCAGACCCGGCGATGCTCAGGGGTTACTCCTGGCTTTGCACTCAGGAATCACTCCTGGCCGTGCTCGGGGAACCATATGGGATGCTGGGAATCGAACCCGGGTTGGCCGTATGCAAGGCAAATGCCCTACCTGCTGTGCTATTGCTCCAGCCCCAACCAGTTAAAACTTTAATTCCAACCCTATGACAATATTAAACATTTTAGAATTCCTGGAGTGTACTGCCATGACATCTCATACTCAATGCCACTGATGTACCAAGAGTAGCACACCACAAACGACGGGTTGTAAAGTAGAAGGCAACCAATCTCTATTTTTTTTTCTTTTTGGGTAATACCTCGCATTGCACAGGGGTTACTCCTGGCTCCTCATGCACTCAGGAATTTCTCCTGGCGGTGCTCAGGGGACCATATGGGATGCTGGGAATCGAACCCAGGTTGACTTGACTGCGTGCAAGGCAAATGCCTTACCCACTGTGCTATCGCTCCAGTCCCAACCAATCTCCATTTTTTTTTTTTTTTTTGCTTTTTGGGTCACACCCGGCAATGCACAGGGGTTCCTTCTGGCTCTGTGCTCAGGAATTACCCCTGGCGGTGCTCAGGGGACCATATGGGATTCTGGGAATCAAACCCAGGTTGGCCGCGTGCAAAACAAACGCCCTACCCTCTGTGCTATTGCTCCAGCCCCAGTCAATCTCTATTTTTTAAAAAATTTTTATATATATATTAGTTCTAAGGAAAACGTTTGGGATCATTTTAGTGGATTATTAATAACAAGCAATACAAAATAAATTATTTAGGATCTGCCTTTGATGCAGGCTTGGGTGGTGGTGGGAAAATTCAAAATAATGGTGATGGGAAGGTGTAATGGTGGTGGGATTGGTGTTGAAATAGTGAATGTAATAAATCATTGTGAACAACTTTTAAAGAATTAAAAATAATTTTTTTAGAAAAATCAACTGAGGGGCTGGAGCAATAGCACAGAGGGTAGGGCGTTTGCCTTGCACGCAGCTGACCCGGGTTTGATTTCCAGCATCCCATATAGTTCCCCAAGCACCGCCAGGAGTAATTCCTGAATACAGAGCCAGGAGTGACTCCTGAGCATTGCCGGGTATGACCCAAAAAGCTAAAAATAAAATAAAATAAATTGAGTTCTGTGATGAGGACACAGCATAAAATGAAAGGTTCTACTCCAGGTCACATTCCATCCCAGCAGAGGCTTGGGGATCTGAATCCCAGGAGTATCTGGAGCAATGGCTGTTGAAGATTATAGGCGTTTTTGGTCACCTCCCTAAAACA